GCCTGGGCGTTGTCCCTCAGCTCTTCAGCTCAAGGCTAGCGCTCTACCACTTGAGCCACAGTGCCACTTCTGGCTTTTTTCTTTTATGCTTATGTGGTGCTGAGGAATCGAACCCAGGGCCTCAGGCATGCAAGGCAAGCGCTCTACCACTGAGCCATCTTCCCAGCCCCCTGAACTCAGGTTCTTATACTCTCTTCTTGGCTTTCTCTGCTCAAGCTGATAGTTTATATTTAAGCCACATCTCCACTTTCAGTTTTTTGCTGGTTAACTGAACGTACTTTGCTGGTTAACTCACGTACTTTTCTGTCAGGGCTGACTTAATCCTTAGAATTCAGCCTCCTGAGTAGCTTGAATTATAGGTGTGAGCCACCAGTGAAGCTTTTTGTTGTTCTGCTCCAGAAGCCTAAACTCAGGGCCTACACACTGTACTTGAGCTTTTCTGAAGCACTGTACTACTTAGCTATAGTTCCACTTTTACCTTTTTGTTAGCTGGAAATAAGTCTCTAATGAACTCTCCTGCTCAGGCTAGGCTGTGATCCTCAGATCTAACTAGGATTATAGACATGAACCACTGATGCCTAACTAAATAATAGTTTTAAATAATCAATTTCTATCTTTTTTTTTTTTTTTTTTTGCCAGTCATGGGGCTTGAACTCAGGCCTGGGCACTGCCCCTGAGCTTCTTTTGCTCAAGGCTAGCTAGCACTTGAGCCACAGCACCACTTCCGGATTTTTCTGTTTATGTTACTGAGGAATCAAATCCTAGGTTTCATGCATGCTAGGCAAGTACTCTACCACTGAGTCACATTCCCAACCCAGATTTCTATCTTTCTAAAAGTATACCAACAAAGCCTTATTTTAACTTTATTGAGTTTGCTTGCTCAAAATTAGAAAGAATGCTATATTGGTCAGTAAGAATGAATGTTTGCGGGGTGCTGGTGGCTCATGCCTATAATCCTAGCTACTCAGGAGGCTGAGATCTGAGGATCATGGTTCAAAGCCAGCCTGGGCAGTAAAGTCCATGAGACTCTTATCTCCAACTAACCACCAGAAAACTGGAAGTGGTGCTATGGCTCAAGTGGGAAAGCGCTCAGAGACAGTACCCAGGCCCAGCGTTCAAGCCCCACGAACAACAACAACAAGAATGCTGAAGATCTTCCATTCAAGTATTTCTGAAATGAGTGTTTCAGTAAATTAACTACTGAATGAAATGAAAATACCTACTGTTTTAAATCGAATTCTATATATTCAAGTTCAACCCCCGCCCCCACTATTCCAAGAAAACTGTAGTACTTTAGGTAAGAGACTGGGTTTTGAGTAAGCACTCATATATTCCATGTTAATAAACGTATAAAAACATCCTGATATTTGTTTAATAGTTAACTATGGTCAAGGTGTGGTAGCACAGGTCTGTTAATACCAGCACTTGGGAGACTGACACAAAAATACTCAAGTTCGAGGTCAACCTAGGCTACTCACAGAGAGAACCTATCACACTCACACACAGACACAACATACAACCCCTAAGCGAATAAGAACATAGCGTAGAGGCTGGGAAGGTGGCTCAGTGGTAGAGCGCTTGCCTTGCAA